GTTCTGTCAAGTTTATTTGAATGTGTTGGTACTAATAGGATTTAAAGTACTACAGTGGCATCAGTTAAGACTGTTAATGCAGAAAAGCAGTTTGTAAATACTTGTCAGGAAGCTGTTCCTCCAAGTAAGCTTGTTGTTTCTGACAAAGGAAGGCAGCAGGGTGGTGGTGCCTGTCTGAGATGGCAGGATAACAGTGAGATGCTGATGTAACAGCAAGGAGATAGCTTTATCCTGCATTTAGACTTTCAGAGCTGTCTCACAGAGCCAGCAGCCTGGGCTCCATGGGCTCATGTTTATGCACGGGCTCATACATAAATCTCTACTCCTGTAAAAGATGCTGCTCAGAGCTGTTTTTATGATGTGTATTTGAAAACTCTTTGCTGTCAAAGTCAGGAATCAGATCTGGGAGTTTTCAGAAGCTGTGGCTTGAATTAAAAGGTCTAGGGCTCTTCAAGGCTTTAGACAGATCTTACTCATCTCCATGTTTTTGCTGAGTTTTTAATGGAAAAAAACCCTGCTAATGGAAACCCACAATAATAGCTCAGCCTCTGGTTTGAATTAGGTCACGCTGAGTTCCTCACTGCAGACAGCAGAGCCTTTCCAACCACAAGTGCTGCTGTCTGCAACCACTTACAGGCTCAGTGAAGAGGAGACAGTTTCAAAACCAGTTGCAATGTGTAGCCACCGACGTATTCCAGCAGCAAACCCCAGTTTCTTATCCTTACAGACCGAATCAACATCAAGAGGAAGGGTGCTTGGCCTTCTGCCTACCTGTCAGTGCAGAATGTCATTGACTGTGCTGATGCTGGCTCCTGTGAGGGTGGGGACCACTCCGGGGTCTGGAGGTACGCCCACGAGCACGGCATCCCTGACGAGACCTGCAACAACTACCAAGCCAAGGATCAAAGTAGGATATCTCTGCTTTGCTGTAGGATTTCTTCCCAGGTTTAGCAGATCTTAGTGTATTAAAAAAATGTTTTGGGTATTCAGAGTACTGGTTCCTGCTGTTTGACTGATAGAACAGGTTTGCTTAACGGGGCTGTGTGTGTCTCCTGCTCCAGACAGTGTAGCACTAAATCATGCTCAGGCAAGTTTGCACAGCTGGATGGTTTTAACTTAATCTCTTAAATCTGTGACACACAATCTCTAATGAAACATTTACAAGTGTCACCTCAAGCTGAACAAAGGAGAAATTTAACCTTTGGTCATGTATGACTGGAATGGTTTCTCTATGTCCTCAACAAAGTATTTACACCTGTGAGGTAAAGAACAGTAAGTGGTGATAATAGGGACTTCAAATGTGGTTTCCAGGAAATAATTGAGTTCACCAGAGAGAATATCTATTAATAATTACTCTGAAGTTATTAATATTTGCCTCAAGTTATAAAAGCTCACTGTCCTACAATCACTTCACTTGAAGAAAAGCACCTTCCTGCAGATTATCTCCAGTGGTAATCTCATCTCTGTTTTACAGAGTGCAAGAAGTTCAACCAGTGTGGAACTTGTGTCACTTTTGGAGAATGCCATGTGATCAAGAACTACACTCTCTGGAAAGTTGCTGACTATGGGTCTGTCAGTGGAAGAGAAAAAATGATGGCAGAAATCTACACTAATGGACCAATTAGGTAAAAAAAACCCAAACATGAAACTCAGTGTACATTTTCACTCTAGCACATGTCAGCAGCTCTGCTCTAACATGCAGACTCTAGTTTGTATATAAACTGAGATCAGAATTCAAAATACAACAAAACCAGTTGGTTTTTAGCCAGGCCCCTGCCCTGATCCCCTTGTATGAAACCTCCTCTCTCTGTTTTCTTGCAGCTGTGGCATAATGGCTACTGAAAAGCTGGATGCCTACACAGGGGGGCTGTACACAGAGTACAACCCCTCCCCTACAGTGAACCACATCGTGTCTGTGGCTGGCTGGGGAGTGGAAAACGGGACAGAATATTGGATAGTTCGTAACTCCTGGGGTGAGCCCTGGGTAAGGAGACACGGCAACACACTTCTGCCTTTGGAGGGTGGGGTTTGTCACTGGCAGAACTACAGCCTGTGGATATAAAACTGAAACTTCCTTTGAATTAGACTACCAGTTTGACACCCAGTCAATCTGAAGACAAGGATATTTGGCCAAAGCTATTTGAGTAATAACTTTCAGCTCTGTCCCAAATTCTGCCTTTCAAGGACGTGCAGCTCCTGTTATGGGCAACTGGAAATTGCTGTTAGTTGTAGGCAAAAATCCAATCACATACCTGGACTGGATGAGTGAGATGTAAATTCACTAAAGAAGGTTGCCCCAGGACTCCAGGGCTACACTTCAGCTTCAGTGAATTCCTCATTCACTTAAATCACTCATATTTGGCAGACAGAACAGACTCACCAACACAGTTTCTACAGCTGTGTTTCCTAATTTACAATGCAAATTAAATCCTTTACAGGGTGAAAGAGGGTGGCTGAGGATTGTGACCAGTGCCTACAAGGGTGGAAGAGGAGCAGACTACAATCTGGCTATTGAAGAGGATTGTGCATATGGAGATCCCATACTGCCTTGATCTACATGGAACAGCTTTGTGTTTAGGTACTTGGGAAGCTTCCCAGCACAACCTCCTCTTGTTTAAAGAATCGTAGCCTAAGACTCCTTCACAGTTCAACACCACCAGGCAGTTCTGCAGAATTAGCCCAGATGCAACACACAATGCCTTCAAAAAATGCAGAACTGCCCTAATTTTATTTACATCTTGAAGTTATTCACCCATGAAGGAGTTTGTCTACCTTGATGCACAGTATTAAAATCACACTGACTGAATCACAGAACCTGTACATGTAAATATCTATTTTTTTTTAAATACAAATCATGTAGATGTACTGGAAAAGTGTACTCAATATTTGGGTCTAGAGCTTCTTTTAAATTCTGCAACAGTACTGACCAAGTATGTTGCAATGATGCAAAAGCCATGATAAGTCTGGACATGATAAATTAAAAATATTAAACCTTGTTTTCTTGAGCTCCTGGTGAAACAGCGGTGTTGGAATTATTAAATAATGAAGTTGCTTTTATCCACCAAAATTATGTAATGGGAATTACTTTAACCAAAAGACAGTCTAAACACTTCTTACGTAGTCTTGTCTGTGCTCAAATTTCTTGTTTCAATATGTGACTGTGCCCTTTTTCTTCTAAAGAGGCAAAACATCAATTGCCATAACCCAGAACTCCTCACTAATATGACAAATCAGTGCCATATCAGATGTTATTACCTGGCATTGCTAACTGATTTAATAAACAGACTTTTTCTCTTACATGACTGGGTATTTATTGTAAGAGCTTATTGATAGAGGTGTGTGGTTGTCTCTACCTGGATGGTGCTGCTTTCTCTGGTCTTTTTATTGTGAAAGGACTGGTGGGCAGTTTTATACAGCAAGAATATTGGTTCAAACAACTGGGCAAGAACGGGATCGTGTGACAGCACTCAGAGTTTAACAAGTTAAAAATCATCTACAGAGGAACTGGTTAGAGGAAGTGATACCAAGCAGAACACAGGAAAGTAAAAATAAACCTTGTTTAAACTGCTGGCAAAGCTGCATAGACACAGAGCAAATTGCTCTTGATTATCACCAAGAGCTTGTACAGGGCTGTATCCTAAATAGATTCTCTAAAGGGTGAATAATTTCTGCTGTTAATTCTACAGTTTACTTGAATTACAAAAACGAGGTCTCAGGCAAATTTTAAATGAGAGTTGGCTGGAATAATAGTAAATCTTCTATTCAAAGATAAGCAAGGAAGTTCAGAACATCCTCTACAGAAGCAACTTTTGCCTTTTCCAGGTGATTTGCTTTTTAAATTTACATCCAGCTGGACTTAAGAGTTTCAGTGTCTTTTAGAAAGGAGGTTCTTCAGAAAACAGATGTGCTTGGAGAAGCAAAATGGGCTTGTTCAAGAAAATGACTGTTTGTTTAAAAGTGAGGGGTGTAAAGAGGAATCCAGCCCACTGAACAGAGAGAATGAGTCATCTTAATGAAACTGAAAGACTTCTCTGGAAAAGAACAAACACCTTTATTTAAAGGTAAGTTATATTGTTGGGTGTTCTCCCACAGTTTGGCATCAGCCAGGACGAAGTAGAGATCAGTATAAAAACAAAGCCACAACAAGCAGTAATGAAATTTCAGCACACATTTCATATTTTGGGACAGTAATGACACGGTAATGAAACTTACCAGTAACATCTGATGCATCTATTTAGCAAAAAATAGATTCTGAAAGGTAACACACTCACATAGAATTCCTCTCTCAATACAAAACTAACCCTGGCTATTGCAACTCCTCTTGTGTTACACAAAACACATTTTTTGTTTTCATGTAGGATATTTAGAATTCTAATACAATGCAAAGGGGAGGACAGACATTAGGGCTTCTGTGCTGCAGGCACAGAGCAAGTCCCACAAATTCCTATCTTTAACAACTTGCAACATCAAAGCCCAGAGCATTCAAGACCTATTCAGAGAATTATCTGCAAAGTGGTTTTAGTAGGAATTACCTTACCTGTTTTTCATATTTTGTTTATTACAAAGAATCAGGGACAGATTCTGCAAGTAACCAAAGTAATGTTCTTTCAAATAAATCTGTTTCTTGCCATCTATCTTCTTCAGAACATAGATTTATACTGATTTGTGTAACAACAGAAAGACCTTTGGTATAATTCCATTTTCCCAATGACATTAACAGTTCTCTGATATGACACACAAACATTCCTCTGGTTAAGAATTTCAAGGTCACCATGCAAGTCACGCAGATACCCTTCAGCCTTTTCCTCCTGGTTTTAGGTTTGTTGGTTTTTGCTGGGGTTTTTTTTGCCCATTTGTAGAACCTTACTGGTGGAGAGCATGGCAAAGCAGTGACCATGAGCTCTGGCTGCATTCTTGATGTTTTCCACTGCTTAGTTCATCATAATAAAGTTAGATTTGCAATGAGCTTAAAAGGAGAGGAAAAAAAAAACTGTTCAGTATGTTACAATGATTCTGATTTATATATTTGCATATGGAGTTCTGCATTATGTAAATAATTAGGCTTTTAGGGTCTGGACAGATGTTTTGGTTTAGGATGGAATATAATATTATGACAGACAACCTTCCTTTCTTTCCTTGCTGCAGTGCTAGTTCCCAAAAAGTAGTATTTATCTTCACTTTCCCCACTACTACCCACAGATTCTTGATCACAGGAAAATTGCTAAACACAGGCCCCTAAAAGGGAAGTTGTCTGTGAAAACAGCTGGCAGGCATTCCTATATTTAGCAATCTTCCTTCTAAACATTATTTGCAAGTTGTAACAGACACAAAAGGAAGCAGGTATGCAAGGAATAAACGTGACTTACCTATGAACTCTGTGACAGGATCATGTTCACCTTCTGTTTTTATAGTGCCTGCAATACTTTCATTCTCCAAGATTGGAAGAAAAAGCTGTACAAAGTCTGAGGTATATGGGGGAGCAATCACATCAAGCACCTGAAACAGCAGACAAAAACTGATTATTCTTGCACTTAGAGGGGGAGGAGGGACAACATTTAATTCATACACCAGTCTTGGAAGCATACAGGTAGTTGGATGGAGAACAAGAGGTCTCAAGTGCAAGTAATTAGTTATGTACTCTCAGGGTGCTCTATGAGTACCTTGTTACTTCCAGGAGTCAGGATCAGGAGGACCAAATCACATCCTGGTGAACACTGAGACACTGCTCAGACTCTGACCTGAACTTGAAGTATTTCTGAATATCCAAAGCACATGGAGCTGATTTTAAACTTGATCTCTAGACTTCAGTAAAGAGTTTTTGCTGCTGACCTCTGTCACAAAGTATCTGATGAGCGAGATGTCGGTGTCCAGCTTCTCCAGGCACTTGCGGATGTAGCTGACCACGGGCAGGACGTAGCCTCGGCTCAGGGAGTGGACCATCCTGTCCAGGAGAGTCTTCTTCAGCTCCAGCTGATGGGGAAGGGAGGGAAGAGCCAACACTTCAGAACTTGCCCTCAGAGTGTGCAATTTTTATTCATTCAATATCTGCTGTGCTACATTTTAACCACTTCTACATTAACCCTGCTGTGAGAGGAAAAGCTGTTGAATTGGTAAGAGTGACTGATGAGAAATGACAAAAAATACTGAATCCTCTGAGTATCACCTGCTCCATCACATCCAGCTGAGAATGTTCTGTTTCGAAGAGCTTCACAAGAAGTTGCAGAACTTGGGGATGAAGCAGCTGATGGCATGTACTGATCTGCAAACAACACAGGAGAGTGAGATCCTCAGAACTGCAATTTAAAACACAATGCACCAGACAAGTCTGCATTGATGTTCAGTGCCAGACAGAAATTAATTTAGAACAGCATTCCATCTTTTCTATGATGTCCAAGTTTTGCTGGCATAAATAATGCTGAGCTGACAAAACCAAACAATTTACTCTGAATAGATTAACCTCTGCATATTTACTGCCTTACTGCAAATGACAAGCACTCAGTGTTGCACAAGAACCAGAACTGTTCTTGGTCTCCAGCACAGTTTCCAGACACTCTTACCTCATCCAGCAGTGCCAGGTGAACTGGGGTGTGATCAGTCTGCAGCTGGAAGTACCGTGGCTCTGACACTGTCCAATCCACCCACTTCAACACACCCATGGCCACCACTGGGAACCTGCAGAGAGACATCACTTCAGCACAGCAGCATGAAAAATCAATGGAAGTTTTATTAGGAACCTGAAGTAATCTGCCATCATTTTCCAGTGGCACAGAAAAGAATGTTCTGCCACCCAAGGAGGACAAGTTGTGTGTGAAAGACAGGATTTATGAGTCATGAGAGACTCCCAGCCTCTCTGCTCACCTGATGCACTGATAGAGAGTGCTCAGTTCTGCAACCAGCTCTGATGCCCCTTTGTTCTCATTGCAACACAGATTGTGAACAGTCTCAATGGCTTTTGAGGTCGACTTGAGTTCATCCTTGTTGATGCTGACTCTCTTGTTCTGCAAAATTATTGCAAAGTTGGAATGCAAAAGTTGCAGATGTCTTTGGTTATTTAAGGAAAGGAGCTTGACCTGCAATAAGCCTAGGATTGCAACCTGTGTCTCACAATTCAGACTCACAAGCAAGTTTCAGAAGAATTAATTACGAGTGAGCTGAAGTACCAGGATGTTTGCTTTATTTAATTCTTAGTGCACTCAGACTTTTGTTTGATCATCAGGATCTACACTTTTTAATCACCTCAGTTGAAGGCAGAAGCATTTCATATTAAAATAACTAAGCTAAGCTGAATGTATTATTTTAAACCGAGTGACTTCACAACCATACATTTTCTTCAGCACAGGCAGGCTGCTGCAGGTAAAAAAGGATATTATTCACAGAAGCAAACATTACCTTTTTCCACATCTCTACAACACTAGCTGCATATGCCAGTATGTGGATATATTTATGTTTGTGATCCTGGTTGATCTTAGCACCTGGTTTAAACAAGGACTGCATGAAGAGGTCCAGAAATGCAGGCACTCGAATCTGTGAAGAGAAAAAACATTTTATCAGAGCCTGACAATCATGAGAGGTGACTAAGAATGGAGTTTTTGCATTTGGTATACATTGCATAGAACAAGATAAACACATTTTCCTTTAAGAGTACATTAAACAGCTTTCTGAAGAGACACAGACTTTTGAAAGAAAAAAAGGGAAAAAAAAGGAATCAGTTACAGACCATATTTCTAAAGTATCAAAGTCTTGCCTTTTCTTACCAAAACCCATGTTAGAACAACACAGTGAGAAATGTGAAATGTATAATTTAGGCCTGCTTATAACAAACTGATAAAGTGGGCAGGGATTTTTTTTTAAAAGAATTAATTCCTTGCCATCTTTATTTCCTATGGAAACAGTCTTTAATTTAATTATATGTAAAAACACAACTTGGAATGATTAAAAAACCCCAACTGAAGTACCGTGAAGCTGATGCAAACCAGAATGCAAGTAGCAGCTTCACTTTTAGTCATTACTTAAAATTACAGAGGGACAAATGAGTGCAGATTTAATTTTTGTGTCCATACAACACTCAGCACAAGCCACCCCATTTCTGAGTGCTTCTGTAACAGAAATAAGTTTCAGAGGTTACAAACAGGAGAATACCGACCAGCTCTACTGGAGGTGGGTCCATGCTTGTAAACATTTTGAAGAGGACAGTGATATCTGCTGGATTCAGAGCTCCTTTGGACAGCATTGCCCCCAGAGCCTGGCAAGCTCGGGGGTAGGAGGCTGCAGTACCCAGTGCTAAGGTGATCTGACTGGCATCATGGCCTCTGCAGGAAGAGCAAACACACACAGGGACTTATTTCCTTAATTCAGACATTTCAGATGAAGTCTCACTGAGTCAACAGGGCATATTCTATGGGATGTAATGCCTTAGGGTAGTTACAGAAATAGGCCTGTGTTTGCCTTGTTCATTTCCAAAATGTTAACAGAAAAATAAAAAGATATTTCTTAACAGACAGAAACATCAGGTCTTTGCTTTTCCAGTTTCAGGTCTCTCTGGTACAGGACACTGAACTTTCCTGCTGTCCCACAACTTCAAGCCCCGCTACAAGAACAGCTCTGTTGCAGCTAAAGATTCTCCTTTTGCTGGTGAGAGGTGATGAAGGACGAGCAAAAGCCAGCAGAGTTCACAGGCTGCGGTGAGTTCCACTTCCCTGGTGCCACAGCTGCCACTCACTTCTCGTGGGCGTAGCGCTGCACCTCCTGAGCGATGCGCCGCACCGCGGAGCCGCCCTGCTCCTCCTGGGCCAGGATGGACATCATGGACTGAGCAAAGAGGTACGTGTGTTCTCCATGGCACACCATCTTCTGTGGAAGCACAGCACAAACCTCAGCAGACAGCAAGAAAACATCCCAGTGTCCTTCTGTGATTACATTGGCGTGAGAGCAAAAGGGGGGAAAAACAAACAAACAGCAAGATTGCAAAGGGAAAAAAAAAAAACCAAAAAAACAAAGCACAAACAACTAAAAAACAAAGCCCAAACCCCAAAAGCCAAGAGGAAAATACAGAAAAGCACTGACACCACACAAGGAGAAATTTCCGAATTGAGAACTTCATTTCTGAATTGAGAAAACTGAGAGGAAAATCTGTTCTATTTATTCTCAGTACTTTCTCTGCAGTATTTAAATACTAAGGGACGTTCAAAGCCAGCTGAAAATCATTGTGCTGTTACTGAACACTGAAATGCTGGGTTGATTCAGATGGCAACTTTCACACTGATGTGGATGATAAGAGAATTAGTTTCATTTGCCACGGGATTGACACTACTGATCTTTAGATCTTGCAGTACGTGTGAAAGACAACAGTTCTGCCACCACCTTTTTACAATCCATTTAATAAATGTAAGAAGTGTCACATAAGCAACCCAAAGAATTATTGGTCACAGAATGACCAAAAAGCATAAATTTCTGTTTTAACTCAGATATACCTTCTCTTCATAAGCTTTTGCAGGACATCAAGATTGGCTACAACCCCACAGTGATCTCTGTACCTCCTAACTGGAAAGCAGAACACTTCTTTTTTCACATAAAAGGGGGGGGGGAAAAACCCCCAAAAAACCAAACTTACAGCAAACTCAGGGAGATTTTTCTCAAGGTTTTCTTCTCCTCCATCTAAAATTGTTGCCAAAGATGTACGCAGGACTCTGGAAAATACTTCTAGTTGCTGACATGCTGTTGAAACACTGGTTATTTCCCCTTGATACCCAGCATCAGATATAAGCTATAAAAATAAAAACATCACAGAAATCTTGTGTTATTTACATTTCTATTTCTGATATCCTAACAAATCTAGAAGAACACAGAGAATCTGAGTTCCACCTCTGCATACATTGGCTGGAATTCACATTTATATTGTGGTTTACAGAAGAGGAAATCATTGAAGATGTAGCAAAAATAAAGCATAATAATTAAAAATGTAGCAGAGCAGACCAAAAGATAACATTCTTTTCTTGTCACAGAAACATACAAAACTGACTGAGATGTTCCACTGCACCAGAAATCCAGAATTTTCAAACAGAGATCACAGAAAAACAAACAAACAAGGGAAAAAAGAGAAAAATCCCACACCTCAACAAAAATTGAAAAAACAGTACTTAAAACTGGGAAATTACACTTACTGCAACTTGCAGCACAAGTCCTCCCACCAAGATGTACTTTTATTAATTAGTATTAGCAGGAATACATAAAAGATACAAGCAAGACCACAACTAATATTTGATGCCAGAACAATTAGCTCTCTATGGATATTCTTATTAATTAGATTTATGCATAGTACCTTCACAGTAAAATTAAGCATTAAACAATCAGGATGGGCTTCTGCCAATTTGTAAAAAAGGTCTCTCCATGTGGTATGTGCTATCATTTGCTCAAGCCAGGCTGGAGTCTGAAAAGAACGGAGCAAGAGAGAAATTTAAGAATGTCTTGTTGTCAGGATCATAAAAAGCAAGGCTTTTACCTCACAGCAGTCCTGTGAGTTGTTCTACAGAGCTTTACTACAAAGGAGGATGCATTCCAAATTTCCAAGCTCTCTAAACCTCTGAGGACTCCAGTGAGACAGAGCAGGTTTTCTGAAACCAGTTGTTCCTCGGCCAAAGAGCTTTGAAGAGTCAATTTGCCTTCCCTTCACCACTCCATCAGATGAAGGATCTAGGAAGGATGGGACAGCAACAGGGACTGCATGCACACCTCTCCTTCCTCTGTAAAGATGGAATCTGCTTTCCGAGGGTCAAAGTGCTTGATCAGTAAGCTCTTCAAGTGGTTCTCTACGGTCTCCTGAACTTGCATTGGCTCAACACCTGCACAGAAGGAACAAAGCACTTGGCAGATGCAATGCAGTCCAGTGGAACACAGCAGCAGCATCTCACATTTCCCAATGAGAACAGACACTACTCCAAAATTTATCAGCACAGAGAAGATGACAGGAGAGCCATCAGTTCTGCTACTGAGCCACACTGATACAGATTTACAGATTTTCCACTTCTTTTTCCTAAATACTGAACTGTTTAGGATCTCAGGTCACAGCCTTCCCCTTTCTCTCCTCATCAGACACACAAAAAGCAATGCCCAGGACTGTTACTGGGTGTCCCAAAAAAGGGATCACCAGGGCTGGGGCACAAAGCCACGTTACTACACACTAAAGTCCATCCTTTTAAGTATTGGTTATCAGTAGCTTTGATAGTATTCTACAAAATAACACACAAATAGCAATGAGTAGCTCTACATTTCTGAAATCAGAGTACAATAATTCTGATAATGTAATAACGATTACATAATTAATTCCATTACAGGATAAAAACACTGCTTATACTGTCTATATAACAGCACCCTTGCCCTTTGAATGAAATTAAAAAGAAGCTATAATTTATGAAGCTGTTTCAACTATAAAACCTTTTATAACTATAACCAGTTTGTTGGCCTTTCATCAGCATATTGCTTCATTATTCTCCAAGTGGAATAAACCTATTATTATAAAGGATTTAGCCACATACAGGATGACAACTTTGTAACAATCCACTTCCTGTGGATGATCAAATTTGCCACAAATTCAGATATCTCTGACAGAATATAGACCCAAAATACTCTGTATCTTGTATCGTACCTGTCTGAATGAGCCACTCTGCCAGCAAATTGACAGTCTGTGCCACTGCAGTGTAGTTTTCAGAGAGGAGCTGAATGACATTTTCTGGAGAACCTCCTGCTTGGAAATATCTGATGAAAGGATTACAAAATAACTATATGAGTCATATTAAAACCAAAAACAAATAGAAGTCTAAATTTAAAGGGAAAACAACAGCACCATTTATATATTTGGAGACATTTCCATACAAAGTGACACCTCGAACACACCACAACACACACCAGGTCACACTCACCTCTTTAACGTGTTAAATATAGACGGTTCCATTATATAATCAGGCGTTGAAAATTTCTTCAGGCACTCCTGCTGGACTTCGGCATCATCCTCTCCCTCCCCATCCTCATCATCTTGCTGTTCACAAGCACAGTCAGGTCAGCCTCCCCGTCCCGTCTCCCCCCACACTCCCATATTCAGGCTCTTTTTGCCCACAGCAGCACACACACCTCGGCTCAGCACCGCAAGCGACCTGCACCCCGACAAACAGCGATTATTAACGGAGAACGCACAAAAAGCAGCACCGCCTTCCCTGTTTAACCGCGGGCCCGGCGCAGCCCCGGCCCCTGCCCTCACCGCCGGCGCTATCGCCTCAGCCCGCAGCGCCCGCGGCGGAGCGGGAGGGCCCGGGGGACGCTCCGGGACCCACCCGGGGTCCCTGCCGGGGAATACTCCAGGATTGTCCCGGAGGATGCTCCGGACCCAGGGGAACTCTCGGAATCTATGCCCAGGGGTTGCTCCGGGAGCCGCCCGGGGCTGCGGTCATCCCTCGCCCCGCTCCCCCCGGCGCTCACCGCGCCCCCGTCCGCCTCGCTGCCCCACTCGGCCGCGCTGCCCTCGAAGTAATCGGCGTCCTCCATGGCTCCGGCCCGGCCCTCCCCGCCCGGCGGCCGGAACGGGCGGAGCGCCGCGGAATGGCGGCGGGGCGGGGCGGGAGCCCGGGATGGCGGCGGCGGCGGGGCCCCTGAGGGCGGGCAGGCTGTGAGGGGAGGCGGGCCGCGGGCACGCACCCCTCAGGGGAGAAAGAACCAGTGCAAATGTAACATCAAATTGCCCCGCAAAGCTTCCCAGCGCAGCAGCAACCGGACGGGAATTGCAAGGGAGGAGGAAAGAAAGGGATGCGTTGCTCCAAGGGGTGTGTTCTCCATGGGATGTGTTCTCCATGGGATGTGTTCTCCATGGGATGTGTTGCCCCGAAGGAAATGTTCTCCAAAGGATGTGTTCCTTTTCTGGCTGCAGCTGGACAGCAGCAGTTCCCTCCGTCCCTCCCATGGAAGCATGAGGGGGATGCTGAACAACAGCAAGTGGATAGGAATGATGTTAGAGTAGAATAGAAAAACTGACAAGTAGGAAAACAAACCCCCCCCCCCCCCCAAAAAAAAAAAAAAAAAAGGGGTAACTTTGGAGAATGACAGTGGGCATCTCCGGGCAGAGGAGAGGTGCTGTGAGTGCCATGTCCCCTGTCCTGGGCGGTTCTGTGACACGGGATTTGTTCCCTCACACAAAACTGGATCCCCAGAGCGCTGGCTGTGCTCACCCCGGGGATGCTGAGCAAAGACATCAGCATCCACAAAGCTGGATCTCCGGAGCATGGGTTTTGCTCAGCCTGGGACCTTCCTGGGGATGCTGAGCAAAGATAATGGGTCGAGAGTGTCCCCAAGGAAGGGAGGGACAGGGAATTAGATGAACAGGGGGCAAGTCCACAATGAAAACTGATCACATAATCAGGCCTCAGGCAAGGAGAGAGGCGTAAGTGAGACCAAACAGTCCCTTTGTGTCTCTTCAGATCCACTCCCGTTCTCCGGCTGTACAAGAGTTTCACTGTGAGAAAAGGGAGGGTGAGGGTGTGTTCTGGGATTTGGAGGCCAACCAGGAGTTTTGCTGACTAATTATTTAAAAGGTCCTTTATTCTCATTCAGTTTCTAACTGAAAAATAGTAAAAGGACATTACATTGTCTTCCATGCATTGCTATGTAAGAAAGGCTAAAAAGAACCCTGTTCAGAAATAAGTTACAGGATCTCCAACAGAAAAAAGTCGTTCAAATGTGGTTGCTGTGCTAATCAAGGGATTTGCTGCACTTCAAAGCTCAACAGAGAGAAAGCACCTGAGCTGCAGCACAGCAGAGTTGTGCTGTCCTGTGCTGCCCTACAGTGGTGAAGCAGCTTTTCCTGGATCACTGCTCCGACAGCCAGGAGAGCCCGGGATAATCTTCTTTTTGCTCTGCCAGCAGAAAGGAAAAAAAGACTTTTTCGGGATAAACGACACGGATTGAAGCAGAGCACCCAGGGACAGGTTTTCCACGTTTTCCACTGCAGGCAGGGGGACAGTGAGGGCATCCCGGTGCCTGTGGTCGTTTTTTATGAGGGACAAACTGGGAGTGAAGTGACAAGCTGAGGCTGGGAGCCAATGGAAACATCCTTGAGAAAAAGTTTTTGGCTCATGCCCATTTGGTTTAGCAGGCAATTTCCATCCCATAGATGTGAGAAATAATAGTGAACTTGGAACAGACAGAGTGATTAACCAGTCAGAGCTTCCTAAGAAAGTACCAGACCTGAATTTAATCCATCCCAAACCAAGAAAGAAAAGGTACTGAGAGTCCCATAAGAAACATCTCTACACCTCCTGTATCAGCTGTTAGGTGTAAGGCAAGTTCTTTGGAGGTGATTTCAGAGTAACCATTACAATACCTTAACAGAAGGTTCAGAGAACTTCAAATTTGAGAAAAAGTGAGCCCAGAACTTAACATTCCAATGAAACTGAATGGGAAAACCACAATTCTGAGATTTCATGAGGCTTAGGAGTAGATCTAGTTCTTTACAGAAAGTTCAACTAAATACACTTTGCATGACAATTTTTATATAGGTAGGAGAATCTTCCTTCCCACAACCCAAATTTGCTGTGCATCTCCTGGGCAGAACATTGGGATCTGCAGCCCAGAGAATTTCATTGTGCCAGAGCTTATGGCCTGAAGCACTCTTAGCCTCAGTAAAGCGTTTTCAGAGCAGGTAACAGTTTTGTCTGGTGACAACAGCTGGACTTGTGGGACTTCAGTGATAATTATGGTACAAAACTTCCTGCTTAACTGAGTAGAAAATGGGAACAGCCCCCAGCACCAATTGCCATTAAGATACATGGTGGTATTATACATTTATGATACAATTTCAGTGCCTGAATCTTAAAATTAGAAGTTTTCCATCTTTATGTATTTATATGTTTATTTTGATTGCAGTAACAGAAAAAATATTTTTTTAAAAGTATATAAAGAATTAACAATACTCAAAGCATTTACTTTCAGCTTCCCTTGAGAAGGAAACTAGAGATCTGTAACAGCCAGACATTTGCTGAATAGCCCTTTGCAGAATTGCAATATCCAAGCTTGCCTCACTTCAGGTCAATAAACAAGAGGTAAAATCAGATTAAACCGAACAGTTTCAAGATATCACTTAAAATGTGATGAAATATTAAATGTACCAGAAGTTGATTTTGCTAACTAAACCTTTGCAATTTTGAATGGAAACAATGGTTGTCTCTTGGGTTCAACTGCATTCCCCCATATGGATTTGTGTTTTACAAAGTATCAGTGAAATGTTCATGACTAAAAGCACTTAGATTTACCTGAATGTCCCTGAAAGGTTTTATTAAGCAGCAAATTAATGCAACAAATTTTTCCCTAAATGCGTATTTGACTACATTTTATGTGTAAAATATTCTTGAGTAACAGTTTCTATCTAATGAGATTTTGATGAGGCAGAGAGCAAATTTTGAGATAAGTTTTGAGACAGAGAATTTGGAGCCCAATAAATATCCAGTGAAGGTCAGCCTTGGTGTCTCTGCTGCATGATTTGATGAAGCAGTAAAGGCATTCTGGAAAATGAAAGTGTGTGAAGAAGAGCCAGATACATGGAAAATGAAGAGTACAGAAACATGGAAAATGACATTATTTTTTTCTTTTTGTACCTTTTTTTGTTGTTATTTAACAGAAAAATAAACAAAGTATCAAATGCTCAAGTTTCAGTTCCAACAGCAAAATTTGCTTGATTTTTTACCAAATTATTTAACTGTATTTCAGGATTTGCTGCCTAAAGGGCTGAATGTAATACAGCTGATGAAATCATCCAACTTCATTTGGTTCCTTCCTAAAATACAGAAGAAAAATCCCAAAAAGAAGAGCCAACTTCCAACAAAACTGTTTGCCTTTTATTCATACGTTTTTTAAAAATATCCACCCTGGCATTCTCTGTCATTCCCTCTGCTCCTTGCCCTCTACAAATTCTTTTAGCATAAATTTGTATTTTTGTAATCGTTAGCCCTTTACAAAGCAGCCAATACATTCAACTAGAGTTAAGGTAATAACTTTCCAATGGAGTAGGAAATTACAGCAGCATCATTAGGCTAATGAGTTTTGGCTAAAGAGTTCTTCCTTCTCAAGCAGAGCCTCAAGACGAAGCATTTGTGTTTGTACCTCAAGTACTGGTAACAGTTATTCCAGACATTGAACACACAACACTTCACCAGGTAACCAAGAATATTCTGAGACAAAACAAGGTGGTTTGGAGGTTGCTGATGTGATGTCATTCTAGTGTCTCTCGAATGTCAACTTAAAAGTTGGAACTGTATTTTATATATTGAGGATTGCTTTAAACACTGAGCCTCCCAACGCCCCAAGTGCTTCTCAAGATGAGCCTGTGGTGGAAACATTTTCTTGCTTTAAAGCAAGTTCCAGTTGATTTTCATGCTGATCATTACACTCACCTTCACTAAACTATCTCCCAGCTCTAATGGTTGCACAAAATTATTTTTTTCCAGTTCCTTAATTGGATAAACCTTGTCTTTTGGGATAGATCATTCTCTAACTTTGAAAATTTGTTTGAGGATCCCAGACTGGGTCACTCACCTGGGGAATCAAGTATTTCCCCCCTAAATCTCTTTTTCAGTGTCCAAGGTGATGGATTTTGATCTCTGAAGTTGTCTCATACCTTTCTTTCTGCTCTATTCTCTTATCAGCCCTCACAAGAGTGAGGGGGGTGAGGACAGGAGAAAGCAGCGGAACCCCAAGGCAGCAGGGTTTGGGTTGTGCTGCAGGACAGAGCAGCTGGCTGTTGAGTTTCCCAGTTTTAAATCACAAACAGGTTCCCAAAAGCTGCTGCTCGTGGCTGCTCTGGGCTTCCAGACTGCCTTACGCAGACAAACCTCTGTATCCCAGCAGAGCTTTGCCCTGTGAGAAACAAAACTCAGGGTTAGCACCAAAACTGTCACAATTTGTTACTTCATTTTGGATGTTGTGCCTTCAAACAGCAAGAGAACAGAGATTAAAACTACTGAGATATTCCTGAGGCCTCACACCCGCCTCAGGACACATCTCCATGGCTCCACCTCAGCACCAGTCTGAAACACTTCCCATTAATACTTTGAGTTCTTCCACAGCATTTACTTCTATCACCCAACCCCTAATTTTGTCTTTTTGTGGAAGCTCTTCTGAGCCTGCCAACAGCAAACTGAAAATGTAGCAAAAAAAGAACTGGAATGTGCCCCTCTGATGCGGCCATTCCCAACCCTGATACAGCTGCTCCTCCCTCTGCCAGCGCTGGCATTTCAGCTGCAAGAATGATACAGTTCCAAAGTCACATCAAATACCAGAACACTACAGATAGAAACATTGTACTTCACTATTAATAATCCACATAAAATTCACAGCCTAAAACAATAGTTTGCATGACAGAACAACAGAACAGAGAGAATTCCCAACATTACTGCCTCTGTCCTAGGCTTATCGTTCTCCAAACTTGTGTAGTAGTAAATTAAAATAATTAATTCACCAACTCATTCAATGAAATGACTAGGTAAATTAAAGTGAACAGATAAATTCACATTTTAATTTTGAATTAGCTCACATTTGTCTGCTGGTACCCCAGCATTAGAAAGCATGT